CCTACAATACTATTCACAAGGAGAGTGGGAAGGAGAAGAAAAAGTCTTATTGATAAACTAGGCAGGATGCCTCAAGATTTAAGTAGCAAGAGTTTTAACACAGAACAACTCCAGCTGTTAAGCAACACAAAAATAGAATAAGTAATAACAACAACTTATGATTTGGTTACACAGGGTATGGACAAGACAGTAGAACAGTCTTTGTGTATCATTTGCTTTTAAAAAAATCCAATTGTATATTCATTAGTTCAACTTTTTTTCTACAAAACTTCAACATTTTTTCTTTAAAAAGAGCCTGTCCCTTGTAGAGATGACTACTCAGCACTGGGGAGACCATATCTGAGTACTGTGTCCAGTTGTGGGCTCCTCAGTATGAGGAAGAGAGTGACATACTGGAGAAAGTCCAACAAAGTCCAGTGAATCATCCACAACAATGATTAAGGGACAGGAGCATGTCACATATGAGGAAAGGCTGAGAAAGCTGTGGCTGTTTAGTCTGGAGAAGAGAATGCTCAGGGATGCATTGATGCTCAGCATCAATGCATATAAATATCTGCAGAGGAGGTCCAAAGAGAATTGAACCAGGCTCTTTTTTGAGGTGCCCAGTGGCAGGACCAGAGGCAATGGGCACAAGCTGAAAAAAAATGACAGGAGGTTTCCTCACATCATGAAACACTTCTTTACTGTGAGTGTGATTGAGCACTGGCACAGGTTGCTCAGGGAGGTGATAGAGTCTCCATCTTGGAGACATTTGAAAGCCATCTGGACATGGTCCTGGACAACTGGCACAAGGTGGCCCTGCTTGAGGAGGGGGTTTGAACAAGATGACCTCCAGAGGTCCCTTCCAACCTCAGCCATTCCTTGCTTCTGTGAAAAATTAATCATACTGAAGAACAGACAAGAAAATGTCTCTTGGGAGCATCATTAAAATATGTTACAAGCAATATATCATAAAACTGCTACAAAATTGGTAGGAGTCTGTCATTACTAAGAGGGAAACAGTTACAACAGTTCTAAGGGAGTAATGCTGTAAAACAATTTTGCATTTCTCTTTATTTGCCAACATGGAAACAAGATGATTTGGGAAAACATTTCAAGAAATACAGGACACTGAACAGAACATAATATTCTTCAGGCAATGTACAAAATGCACTCATGAAAGCACAGGGTAGAACTAAACCACACACCAAAACTGATTTCATTCAGAATCAGAAAGAGACAAACACTAATTTCTGAAGGGAAAATATATTTCTAAAATCAACAATGAAGCACTTTTTCCTCCAGTATCACAATCCTAGTGCTAAAAGAGATTTACAAAACATTTAAGACAAGTCTGAAATTTAAATTCACAGACTCAGGAAAAACAATTGTTTTATATGATGTCTTAGTTTTTTATATGATGTCTTAGTTTTCCCCACTAGTAGCTAAAACAGTCTTGGTCTGAAAATGACAAGTAGGTTATTAGGACAAATAATCATCTTCTACCATTCCTGATCCACAGGTGCAAACATAGTCAACTTAAAGCAATTACCCTCAACTGAACTTCAACTTGAAAATTGTTATTTCTATTTCAAACCTTAAGAAAGGTGGTTCTTCTGGAAAGCTTTCCTACATTTTAGATCTAAACTAATCAGTCTAGGTAAAAGGTATTAACTTTAACCACAGACCATACACCACTTGACTATATGCCAAATGTCTGCAACTGTGCTACAACACAAAGTATTTTCAGAGGAATTAAAAGTGTAGATTTTTTTTTTCCTTTCATCCTTGTTATTTGATCAATGTTCATCACAATATTTGCTACCCTTATTCTTGGTTAAATTTAAGACTAATAAATTATGAGACCTTTAAACTTTTCTAGAGTTGTCCATAAACTTTGCTATTTTTAATTTCTACTGCAGATAGAGGTAACAGTTAAAATACCAAATCCATTAAAATTGTCCAGGCTCCTAAAGAAAGAGAATAGGTTTTTGTTGTTTGTGGTAGGGTTTTGATTTTTTTCAATCCAACTAGTCAATAGCCTGTTAGTAAAGTTCTTTTTCTTGCAGTAATTGATTTTACCATAATAGACTTCTACTCTACAAGTGTTACATTAAAAGGATGAAATTATTGTACTCAAATCAGGGACCCAACAAGAAACATGCCTAGAAGTGTAATACTCTGCATATAAGTTTGAAGTGCTGAACAAAATAAAACAGCCATAATTTACTCCAACACTACAAACATCAAAATTGACATCCAGCTGAAGGAACTGAACTTCAGAGGCAGCACATGCAAATGCTAAAATAGTTTTAATCCACATATGCACAAGGGTTATACATACTGCTAATTTGTTTTATTAGACCAGCTAGTATAATAAAAAAAAAAGAAAACAACAAATTAGGTTTTGAGCATTTGGTCTTTCTCCAGATTTGAAGTAAAAGCAATATATTTCAAAATTAAATTAGTTAAAAATAATTGTTTTAATTTTTTTTAGATCATCTCTGAAAGAAAAGATATTTTTAGAGGGGAGGAATCTTTGCTGGAGGGAAAAACAGAATAAACTAGTTACCTCTAGGGGAAGGAAAGAGCTCATTGTTAGCTGTTAGGAAAGAATTAGCAATGAACCATAAAAATATCATCTTTATCACGTCTAGAATTTTTGGCATCCAATGGAGTAACACATTTTAGTTCCCAGAGTTGGCTTTGGAAAAACGTTTGTATTTCTCATCTGAGAATCACAACGAAAATGACACATAGTGACAGCCTCCACAGGCAATTGCCCTTTATCAGTTCTCTGAGAGTTCATTTGATGCACAATTGTTTTCTAGTTTTACCTACATGGGTATTGTGAGGACACTGCAATCCTGGCTGGAATATATTACATTCTATGAAGTACAAATGTAGAATCTTGGGATTCTAATATTTCTGCTGTAAAGTTTATAACAGCGGGGATGAATTGACCAGTTTTATATTTAATGTTTAGGCAAGAGATACCCCCATTCTGCAGATTTTAGACTACAAAGCTTTTTGTGCTGATGAATTCAGTTAGGTTAAAGAGTAGTTCTGGAAATATTTCTTTCAAGATATAAGTTTCTTCCAGTACAAGTGGTAAATTTTAAAATAATATGTTGCAACTAGGAGTGCATAAATTGAAGTGGGTTTTCTCTTTTTGTTTAGGAGTTTGGTTTTGGTACAGTTTTGTTTGTGGTGTGTTTGGTTTGGGTTTGTTTATTTGTTTTTTAACTAAAGATTTGTACTATGTGTTTAACTTACTATGCAACATTTGACTAAGTCTTCCAACAATGATAATTTGTTTTCATCAATAATTAAGCTTACTGACCTAAAAAGATATCTTTAGACCATCAAAGTGACTGTTGCAATTGTTCTCATTAGATGAGACACACGCAAAGGCCAGACTGTATGTTACCACAGTTCTTGGTATGTTTCAGATGACTACTAATGCCTAGCTTTCCAGCTATGACAAGCCACAGTGCTTCTTATGGAGGCACTTAAGGGTTACGTCTCCTATTCATCACCTGACAGACACTTCTTGTACACGTGCAAAGAAGGCCATATATTTCCTACCGGTACTGAGTGCATGCTCACAACTTTCATGTTTAGGTCTTAATTCGATGAGCCTTAGGAAAAACAGCAGCCAGAATGGACTGCTGCAAGCATAAATCATGAAGCCTATATCGAATCAATTTTATACTCATATTCTCATGTCATTCTAAAGCATCTTTGGAGCACTCAGAACAGAGATGCATCCCAAATGCCATTGTTCTCCCACCCTGATCTGCAGCAGAAGAAACATTAGATGGAAAATAAACAGAAGTTACATGATCTGGAAAAATACACTAGCATTTAATATTAAAGTTTAGAAATCAGACATACACTTAAAACAAGGCCATCCTCCCATCTGTCTTACAGTTCTTCTTCTAAGTCCTGATTCAACAGTGTGCTTAGTCATATTAATTTTTGTGCCTTGCTGAATCTGACCCTCAGTTAAAACAAAAAAGAAGTGACCAAAACGTCCATTTCAAGTAGGTGCCTAAACAAAAAGTTCAGCAAGTGAACCAAGTTTGTGATGTACTAAGTACCAAGAACAGACCAAAAGAATTCTAACCTGTTTATTGACTTCAGCCATTGACAGCTGTAACACCATCAGCATGCAGTCTGCTCCACATACAGTAGTCCTTTCAGAGTTTGAAAATAAAGGCCATTGTCTTCTGAAACACTTGATCAAGTTTAGAATTTTTTGTGGGAAAGCAATCATTGTCTGGAAGAGAAGATAGAAATAATTAAGAGAAATAAAAATTAATATAATTATGCAAGAGGCCTATGCATGTCTTAATCTTCCAATAAGCTATGCAAATTCTGTTATCAAGTTCCTAGAATAAACTCTTCCCACTAAACCAAAAGTCTAGAGAGACTCACCTCACTATGAAGGAGCAACTACGAAGATAAGGGGTTAAAAGTGCTTATGTACGACACGTCTTCATGAAGACCCCTTACTTTCCTTGTACATTATACCAACATGAAATAATAAATGTTACCACAAATATGACAGCCACTTGTCTTTGGAAGCAGCCAGTCTGACCGCCCCAGAGAGTGCCTTCTGTACTCTCTCTATGTACCATACTTCAGACCACTGTCTATCAGAATGTTTTAAAACCGGAAACAAAAGATTTAATACTTCTAAGACTTACTATCAAAGACAACTCTCAATGTTTTTGTCATCTATATAGTCTTTTTTTCATTCCATAAATCATTATCTCCGCTCTTTCATTTGGCAATGGGTTTCAGTATCAGTTTGAATTTCACTAATTCATGCTTTCGTCTTTTTCACCTTCTTGCATTTGTCAAGACACGGGTACACAAGACTCTAAAAAATTTGCCTTCTTTAAACTTGTTCTTTCCTGCAAGACAGCTCCCTAACACTGCAGTGACAGTGCAGCAGCAATACCGATACCATTTACTTTCAGAACACGAAACTACCCTTTCCCCTTATTTCACCTAGCTAACAGATCACAGCTGGTTTTGGTTTGTTAGTGTTTGGGGGTTTTTTGGTTGATTGGTTGCTGTTGGTTTTTTGTGCGTTGGTTTTTGGGGTTTTTTTTGTGATTGGTACAATCAGGAAAAACAGTTAACTGAGGGAGAAGGGCAGGAAAAACAGGAGACACCAGGTAACGAGCCAGATTGTAACAGCAACTGCAACTTACTCTCCAAAATGTTTTAAGGGGGCAACCTACTTTATTACTTCATACTGACACAAGCGAAACATGCGGGCCACAAAGGATGGAACTGGCGGGCCGGTGTAACTCAGCCTGGGGTAGACAAAAATCTCCCCGGAGGCTTCCCTCCCTCCCTCCCGCGACTCTGAGAGGTTTCCAAGGGACAAGACCTGTCACTCGGAGCAAGCGCCCAGAGAAAGAGCCCGAACAAG